TTTTTCCACCATAAGGAAATTTCGTTATATTCAACACATATTTCTTCCACATCTGTTGATTAATTTCAGTCAATTAAATTCCATACGCGCTATGGATGACATATATTTTTTAAGCATAAAGCAATGGACACAAAATTTACCGGTTAAAACACAAATGACATGCAGCAGTTGTGTAAAGTGTTTCAATTCAATTTCTGAAAACGTAGCTTCTTCCTTGTGCGACCAATATATTAATGCCAATCGCATGAAAATGAATGGTTGAATGTTACTGTCTTTAGCCGCTTGTTGCCATTTCTCTTTCATATTGTCAGAATACATCGGTCCTTGATATACGAAACGTGCTAAAAGATGCGTTAAAAATCACATTTTACAAAATAAAAATATACGATACAATCATACAACTGATAACAGCATATTTACTATTCCAACTTACAAATTTCGTGTACATTCTCCTCCTTTATATCTTTTCGTAACCCAATCATTCTCGATGCGCCCAGTTCGAAGCATGATAGAAAGTCAAAGAACGCATTTTCATTCTTAAATTTGACCTTAGTTTCTGCCAAAACGTTACCATGTAAGAAGCTGTTTAGCATTTTAGCCAATTTGATAACACAGTTTATTTCTCGTTCCGAGGTTAATAATATCGAAGATAAACTTTTAGTACTCGTATTATCGGTTGTAATATCGTACTCAGGTGGTACATCAAGTTGAGACTCGATATATTTATAAAATATAATTATTCGTCGTAACTGCGTTGTCAATTGATGAAGCATCTTAGCGGGAGGTTCCAATTCTTCCTCTTCTTCTTTTCCTTCTGTAAAGTAGTAACAAAATATGATTCGTAAATTTATTTACATATTTGTATATAGCGTAGCACATTTTACAATGTGGACTCTGCATACAAGTACCTCGTTTTACTACAAAACAATTTGTTGCAGCGAGTAAAGTGTCTGGTAAAATATGCTTGCTGTTCATTAAAACTTCTATTGTCTGTATTCGAACTTCATTCGTTTCTAAACCCAAACAAGTATTAGTAACTACGGAAATCAATTTCTCTTCATTAAAATCTTCTTCCCTCAGAAACGTTCTCAGTTTCCTAAGTAGATGGATGTCGCGTGCTCGTTTTCCGTTTTTACTATTGAGTGCAAAGTGAAATGGAACACAAATCTCCTTCAATCCTCCAAGTGGATCAATAAACACACAGGAGTATTGCGCTTTATTCTTCGATAAAATAGCATTGTCGTTCGCCCCCAGAAAACCATAATTAATGTACAGTAATCTGCAAAAGTACATCAGACGAGTCATATTTCATACGACATGTATATGTAAGACGAAAATACAGAATGAAAGGGAAGAAATTGAAAGCAGAGGAGAGGAGGTGCGATAGATACAACTTGCCGTCCATTTTTGCTGGCAGTAAAAGTAGTGATTTTTGGACCTTGCTGTATACTCCAAATATCTATTACGCCCTTCTTTGGTGCGTAAATAACTAAAAACAGAGCGGTGCGCAATAAAGCTTTACGTCCAGATTTATCAACGTTCCTACGTATTGCACGATCTCTCTCTTCGATAACTTCAATCCAACCGCACTGAGCATCGCGATATCCTTTCCACATTCTCAAAGCTATACCCTTTTTATTATTTATCAGAATCACTCTGCCCATAGCATCCGATATTATCGAGAACATTTTGTTTGGGCTACAAGCAATGCAATCGCCTTCTCTCATAATATCGCTTAAGCCAAATCGACATGTCATCGTTTCTACCGATTCGTGGCTAATACTCTTTGATACTTCAGACGTTGCATTCTTGGAATTTCCACGAAACCACCTGATAAAAAAAATCAATTCAATAAATTAATTCTTAGGACCCATCAGGGAAATTATCACACAAGATAAGAAAAGCACTTACGGCACAGCAGTACCGATAGCGTTAGCTAGTTTGCTAGCCATAGCGATAGCGACATCCGACAAGACTGGTGCGTTACCACCTTCCAGTGCATAGTGGAATCCTACAAATGGTCGTTTTCCTGTTGCAAGAACTAAATTGTGTTGCGGCGCACTAGATCTATATGCTGCATTATATCCACCGCATATCGAAGCTGTCATTAAATGATCAAAGCTATTTATCGACGTTGTACCAATCACTTCTAAATCGTTTGCAATATCTTGATTTTTGAACGTCCATTTTTTATACGACAAATTTGTAACTGGCGGTAAATCATTGCAATTCGCTTGAACTGTACGAAAAAAGAATTATGAAACACAAGCCAGAGAAAATACACGTATAATGGACAATGATATACCTTTAGCCAAATGATTTCTACAAGCACGTAAAGTGGAAAATAATGGAAATCCTTGTAAAATGCAAACTCCACTGTTATATAAAATATAAACTTCTTCACTAGAGCCAGCATCCCCAGCATGTTTGGATAAGCAAAATGACTGACACTTAATTCCCAGAACCGATTCATTATGGACTTGCTCTTCTAACAGCAAAGCACCTGTCTAATGAAAAAACAAAATATATTACAAGAAATCAACAAGATGAAACAATACAATAGTAAAAAAAATTAATACTCTCTTACTTCTGTATAAAATCTAACAAAGCCTGTATTATATCCAACAGCTATACAGGTCCAATCTGGACCAGTGGCTTTTCCCAAGGATATTAAAGGTAAGCAGATCACAGAGGTTATCCATTCACTGAAAATAAATTCCTTATTACAAAATATTATCATACAAATATTAATAAATATTACATACTTTGCTTCTTTTGTTACTTCTCCATGCCACGTTACATGAAACTTATTTTTTATCTCGTCTAATTCTTGAGATTCCCACCTTGCTATAAATATGAAAGAACATAATTGAAATGTTATTCATGACCTGTCCACAAATATATGCGTGTAAATATATCGGAATTCTTCATTAACTTGTAATCAAATTTTAATTATATCTGTTACTGACAAACAAAATTATATATATGTGCAAAACTAAACAATACTATATAAGATTTGTACCTACAAACAAATATAATCATTTTTGCGTTCCAAGCTATCGTAAGTATATCTCCAACTGATGACAGTGATATAATACAGTTTTGCAGAGGCAATTCATCGCTCGGTATATACTCGACTGAAAACACGTATTGGTAAATGAGAATGCATATTATATTAACCTAACATATCAGTGAAGAAGAACTCACATTTGCTAATAGCATCGCCATAAAGCAATTTTTTAACACTAACAATGTCTGATATATTTGCTATTTTTTTAATTTGACAAGACATGCTTAGGTTATGTACAACAGTAAACTTTTGGTAAACACTCAATTTTTATATTTAATTGTTACAACTTATTACCACAGAATCTATATAAGTGATATAATCTTTAGTATAATACATATAGCGTGACTGTACTTGAAATAAGTTATTACTTTACAATCTTTAATTGCAAGACTGTCTCCTAACACTTGGAGTTCGGACATAGAGATATAAGAATAGAGGGCAAAAGCCGTAGGTACAGGCGTTAGCGGGATAGAAAGAGAACGCTGCATAGTTACTCGTGCCATTCTTGTTTAATGACGCATGCGCGCAGCTCATCCATGTTTACTTACAAGCATGGTAGTGAATATGCCGGAATTAACCGCTTTCGATTTTGCAAATGTTGTTTTTGTGTACAGTTTTTTTAAAAAATGACTGTAAAGTGTATCGTGTGCAAAAAAGAATCAAACCGATTTTCTGATCGCAGTTTTCATAAGTAAGTACACACATATTGTACGTATACATAACAAACATACAAACCTAACCTTAATAAACATTGTAATTAATTGTATAAAATAATATTAATTGTATTAATTGTATCGCTTCAACAGTCAAAGACCGTATCAACTG